AGGTCACACGAATGTAAAGCAAGAGTTCTAATGTGGTCGCACAGGAAACACAGACACAGAACTCCCTTATGGTGCTTGAAATACAGTTTTGCCTACCACAAACGCCACTGACACAAACGTTCAGGATTAGACCTGACTTATAAAGTGAAGGCAACAAGCTAATATGTAAATATCAGCCACAAAATTGCCAGACCTCCCTGGTTTTGTTTAATATTTACTAACCAGGAAAGACTGTGCAAAGCCTGTTTCAAACGGGGAGGGAGCGATGACAGCATTAAATGTGATTTAGCCTTCTCTTCTGAGGCGGTTCTGCTTCAGTCACCATAGTTCCAGGAGTAACGTCTCCTCTGCTGGCCTTGCTATGTTTATTCCAAACGGAAATCCCCGAAGGGTTAGGGATAACGGGCAATAGACCGCTCCGAACTGCTGTTAGTGCTGCCCTCCATTTAGTATTCTGCAGGAAGGGGTCATAAGACGGAATTCTCTGAAACTTGGAACTATTCATAGTTAATTCCTTCAAGGTTAGAAAAGCATCAGTATTGCCTAGTTTAAAATTTTAACACATTATCAAGTGTTCTGATGTGAACACACACATACACGTTCCGCGTAAGCAGCATGAGAAACAGAAGAAACCCATCTTCGAGCCCTAAAAGAGGAAAAGAAGCTTAGCCTGTGTATTCGTGAAACTAAACCTGCTCTGAAAACTAAAGTCTATTAAAGAAGGTACCTAGAATTATAAAAAATGTTTACAACTGCCAAAGTGCAGAAAGGTGTCAAAATTATTACTTAAAAGAAAAAGCAGTCTACGGCCATGCCACCCTGAACGTGCCCGATCTCGTCTGATCTCGGAAGCTAAGCAGGGTCAGGCCTGGTTAGTACTTGGATGGGAGACCACCTAGGAAGACCGGGTGCTGTAGGCGTTAAAAAAATAATAACAATAAGATAAAAAAGCAAATGCTAAAACAAAAAGGAGAAAAAAGAATTCATCCGCTGATTCAGGAAATACTTATCAAACTCCTACTATGAGTCAGGCATTGTTCCCAGCAGCATTGGGAGAGAAGTTTCGTGTTGCCTTTTAAAAGTGCATATCACGAGCAGTGGCACCACAGTCAACACGCTGTTGAATGCACATCGTACGCCTGGCATTCTCCTAAAAGCACACATTAAAAAAATCACGTCCACCAAACTAATATAACATATCAAATGTCAATTCTAATCGAAGAAAAATTATGTACAGTCAACGCAGATGGCTTCTTAGTATGTCGACCGACGATATATTATTCAGGTCTCTCTGCTGACTTTCTTGCTTTCGGTATTTTCGCCTCCTCCATTTCCTATTAGCACTGAAGTAAAGAAATAAAGACGACGCAGAGGGTACTTGGAGACAGAAGTAGATTCTGTCCCTGAGCAATTTGTTAGCTGCGAAGAGTAGATGATGAGAAAAAGCTAAAATTTTCAAAGGATTTATTCACACTTCCCATTAATGATCAAGCTAAGGAAAAGTTGAACTGACAACTTCAATAACTTGTCACTTCTTTCTAATTAGTAGGTAAGAAAAAAAAAAACATTCAAATGTAAGAAACTCTTGCTTTGCTATTTCTCCCACGACCAGTCATGATTTCGACAAATCAGTGCAACCTACTTACCCTATTATCGTCACCTTTTAAACAAAGTCTTGAGTAAATCCATTTGGTTCTTAATCTCTTTTGTAAATCTCTTTTGACTCTGAATGTTGCAGACTAGAGTTAAGACCTACTGAAGTAACTAGATCTCTTTCAATGTATATAATGTGACTTAGATTCAGATCGATGTCTTGCACATAGTAGTTGTTCAATAAAAAATTTAAAAATGGGTTAAAAGACAATGTTATGAAGAGTCAAACCAATTTAATACAACCTAATCACTTTAAAACAGCCATTTACACTTCGCTGTGACCTTCTGATACAAACTAGAAAGTCCCAATTTAAATACAAACTACCGAGTAAAGTTATTACGAATGATGGGTTTTGAGTCCATTTTTATAGTTGCATAACTTCCTGCCATTTCATGATTTCTAAAAATTTCCTAGGATATGAACGTTTACTCCTATGCAGGCATTCGAAAAAAGAAAGAAAAGGAAGAGAGAAAAAAAGGTTTTACTCCCTCTATAAAGCAGGATGTGGCTTAAGAGTAAGCCTTCAATGTAGAGTGCACGTTAGAAACCCAGAGTTTTTAAAAGCCTATACAGACTTCGACGAAAGTCCTAAAGTGTGTGTATACCTGGTGGTATTTGTGAAGGTCTAGAAAAGCTGCAACCGCCTGATACAAATAACTCACCGCCACTGAAGCCATAGCTCCATCTCCCTCCATCTAGAAGCATCATTCTGCCAGGCTAGGCTTGAGCGCCCCATCATTATCTCATTATACATGTGCCTGGCCCCAAAGCCACCATTCAAGGAAAACCTTCAATCACTGCCCTGTGCTGGGCAACCCCACACTGCCCAACACACCGCACTCACTGAGTCTCTTGCCACTGGAGAACTGGAGTTTATTTTTCAGAACTCTTCATTACTCCAAAAAAAAAAAAAAAACCCTCAAAAAATAAATACATTAAAAAACTCAAATACTAAAAAAATAAGGCAACTGAAAATAGACAGCTTGTTGCCCTCATACTTCTTGGTGTTTTGCCTTAAAACTCAGATTTTTGCACTTAGTGCAAATAATGTGTTCATGCCTCTCCCCTCACTGAACTATAAGCACTCCGGGGCAAAGGCCAATACTCTAGTGGAATACTTTAAAACAAAACAAAACAACAACAAAAAAACACTTCACTGACATATATTTGCACATATACAACTGCTAAGTGACTCATTCTTCCTCAAAACTTAGCAAGTGAAAAAAAAATTCAAGTAGTTTATACAGCTTCTTCCTTAAAAAACTTTTCCAGTTACTTTTACTGTAGAAAAATTCAAGCAGATAAGGTAGAAAACAGTGTCACAAGCCCTGCTGTAACCCATCACCCAGCTTCGACAATGACCTAGTCATGACCACGTACTTGTTTCATCAACAGCCCCACCCACTACCACCCCAAATTCTTCTGAAGCAAACCTAAGACTTCATGTCATTCATATATATTCCAGGTCCAGAAACGCCTTGTCTTTGCCTTCCCTCCCACCCCTCCACCCCCCAAAAGTGCCTAGAATAATGCAGGCAGTTGGACCTGGTTTATCGTCTCCCTTGTCATAGCTGCCTCCCGGATTCTGGATCACCCTCCATAACGTTCACTGGTACCACTGTGAAATGCCGTCCAGTGTGTTCAGGCTCCTTAATCACAATCTGTTTCACTCAGAAATATAGTGTAGTTTCTCCCATAATCCCTTTCTCTTTTTTGAACAAGTGGGGAAAAAAGATCGTGCCAAAATTTCTATTCTCTTGATAAAAATTACTTCTGTTGTTCTCCCCCCCCCCCAAAACACCCCAGACAAGCAAAAAAGAGCTAAAGGGAGTGGAGCAGGAATAGAAAAGAAATACGACGTTTAAAATGGTAGATTCCACCTAATTTGGCGTGTGCGAATATTTAAAACCATCTTCTATTTCATTTTTAAAATGAGTATTTGTAAACATCAGCCAGTATCTTGGGTTCCTTTAGACAGAGGATGTTTATTAAATGAATTATCTTAATTTACGGGAGCTATTGCCTTCAGGATTCTGGTACTGATAACGGTGGCTGCTTCCGAGCCTAAGACATGGTTATGCAAAAACAATTAAAGCCAAAAATAATAATAATAATATTTAAGAGAGGATGCGCTCAGTTTCTACAGCTGCTCTAACCTTGTTTTATTTTGACGTCAGATTTCTCGGCCTCAGCCAGGACAACAACCACCACCCCACTTTCTCCTCCACGCCCTTTACAAATGGAATTCCAAAAGGAGGCACTTTTCGAGTTCATCGTGGGAAATGTCTCATCTTGAGAACATTTCAGTGCAATAATTGAGATTTCATTCATTCCTCTCTCTGGACATTGCACTGCCCAACCCTTGTCCAGTGGTCTCCCCAGAAATGCAGAAGAAGTCGGGGAAACGAGCTCCATTCCACAAGCCACAGCCACTCCGCCGGGGGAATGGCCTGTGCACGGCCTCAGCATCTCCTGCTCGCTCTGGTCTGGGGCTTCCAGACACCGGGCTCCTGATTTACCCACTACACCCCCAAGTTAAGGACCCGGGTGGAGCGCCCCTCCCCGCCAACTTTCCCCCATTTTCAACTGTTTCCTCGAAGCAGTAAAAGAGTTATTACCCCGCGAAGGCCTCTTCCCGAAGGTGATAACACAAAATCTCCCCCTAACTCCGGCTAGTTTCCCCTCCAGGCCAAACGCCGCAGCCCCCACTTCAAATCCAGGATGTCAGCTGCCTCTGAAGAACTACAAGTGCGCCGCAAACTGCCACAGGTCAGAAGTCCTCGCCTCTAGAGGGAAGACACCACTTCCCGCCCCTGCGCCCCCAAACCCAAGATCTGGGACCCAGCCCCGCCGAGGCCGCCGCGCCCCCTGGAGGAGCGCCGGATCCGCCTGCACCTTCGCGCAGAGAAAGCAGCCCTAGGAACTCGGGAAAGGGCGCCCTACTGAATAACGCAGCCCCCCAAACCCGAGGGCCTCCACGCCCCCATGGAAGCCGACCCGCGGCGCAGCGGTTACACACCCCGAGGGATTAAGGGTCTTCCCAACCCACGCCGCTGGCCTTGGGGCGCCGCGGGGGGGCCCAAATCCGCACCCCCTGCTCAGGCCGCGGGCGGACCCGGACCCGCGCCCCACGCTCAGGTCGCCGTGGGGACGCATACCAGCTCCCCTCGCTTCTGAAGAGCGAATCCGGCGCGCACATCCTGCTCAGGCCAAGGCCCACAGGGGGCACCCGGACCCCGCCTTGGCCAGGCCGCTGGGACCCCGACTGGCGCGTCTTCGCGTCCACCGGGGCGGCCCGGCCCCGGCGCGCCAGGCGCCTCCCCCGCAGCCCCAGCCCCTCACTCACCCAGAGCTCGGTGCCCCAGCTCATGGTGCAGGGGGCGGGAAGGGGCGCGCCGCGCGGCAGGCGCGGCTCTCCGGTCCCCCTCCCCGGCGATCCGTTCGCCCCTCGAGATCCT